TTATTGCAGCATTATTGGCCACAGCCAAGACACGGAAACAATGGAAGTGTCCATCGGGAGATGAGTGATATAGAAGCTGTGAGACACACACACATACAGACACACACACAATGGAATACTCTTCAGCAATAAAAAAAAAGAATGGAATCCTTCCGTTTGCAAGAATACGAATGGACCTTAAGGATATTATGCTAAGTGAAGTAAGTCAGATGGAGAAAGACAAATACTGTATATGTGGCTCTCACTTACATGTGGAATTAAAAAAATACCAAAAAACCAAAAATCCCATACTTATAGACAAAGGAATCAGATTTATGGTTTCCAGAGGTAGGGGTTAGGAGTTCGGGGAGTTTGAATAAGGTGGTTAAAAGGTAGAAACTTTCAGTTATAAGATAAATAAGTACTGGGGATATAATATACAACATTATGCCCATAGTTAACACTACTGTGCAGTATATTTGAAAGCCGTTAAAAGAGTAGATCCTAAGAGTTCTCATCACAAGAAGAAAAGGCAATTTTTTCCTTTTTTTTTTTTGGTATCTATATGAGATGATGGATAAGTAAACTTACTGTGGTAATCATTTTACAATATATGCAAGTCAAGTCACTATGCGGTACACCTTAAACTTATACAGTGTTGCATGTAAATTATATTTCAGTAAAACTGGGGGAAGAGATGATTACAGGAGGGGAAAAATACTGAACTCAATTCCACTGGAAAAATAAAAAAGGCAGGAGGACTTTTTTTTTTAAAGTAAGCTCTACACCAAATGTGGGGCTTGGACTCATGACCCTGAGATCAAAGGTCACATGTCCTACTGACTGAGCCAGCAGGAGGATTTTTAACTGCTGGGGTGAGCTAGTGGAAAAGCACTGGAGGCTGTTATAAGGTTGGTTACTGTGATTAGACTGTGTTTGCTGACTGGCATCCACTAAAGTAGGGCTCCTACCCTTCCACAGAGACTGGGAGATAAGTATGTTCTTTCTTCACGATTGCATTTTAAAGAGATGGCTCCCAGGCCCTTAAGAAAGACATTCCCCGGTTGTACAACTGTCAAGAACATGAGAGAAGACTTATATCTCAAAGGGGCAGAGAAAAAAATTAACTCTGTAAGTCTTCTAAAGTAAAGCTCTAAGAAAGTGGAGGTCAGGGGCCCACAGCCAGGAGAAACTGCCTACAGCTTTGTCAAGTTGAGGGCAATGTTAAGACCATCTTGAGGGCGCCTGGGTGGCTCAGTCGGTTAAGCGTCCGACTTCGGCTCAGGTCATGATCTCACGGTCCGTGGGTTCGAGCCCCACATCGGGCTCTGTGCTGACGGCTCAGAGCCTGGAGCCTGCTTCCGATTCTGTGTCTCCCTTTCTCTCTGCCCCTCCCCCGTTCATGCTCTGTCTCTCTCTGTCTCAAAAATAAATAAACATTAAAAAAAAAAAAAAAAAAAAAAAAAAAAAAAAAAAAAAAAAAAAAAAGACCATCTTGATCACCACTCTCTCACTTCTCCCCTCACCACTCCCTTTCTACTTTTATCTGTCCTTGTGGGGTTTATGCCTTTTTAAAAAAATCACTTTACTTTTAGCAGAATTTTAGGAGAGTGTAAAATTAGATACATGACTTTAAAAACATTTTTAACGTTTACTCATTTCTGAGAGACAGAGGCAGAGCACAATTGGGGGTGGGGCAGACAGAGACAGGGAGACACAGAATCTGAAGCAGGGTCCAGGCTCTGAGCTGTCAGCACAGAGCCTGATGTGGGGCTAGAACTGTGAGATCATGACCTGAGCCTAAGTTGGACACTTAACCGACTGAGCCACCCTGGCGCCCCAGGATACATGACTTTAATGTAACATCTTTAATCCCAAGAATTCTTTCAGAAATATATATCATATGCCTCTAAACTCTTTGCAGCAGCTTCCAGATTTCTTTATAGGAAGAAATTAGGAACAGGAATTTTGTTGCAAGTGAGAAAGCTAGGATATTTATTTACAGAGAAAGTGCATTTTTGCATGGACTGTTTACAAATCAATACAAACAGCACAACTCCTTAATGCTACCACTTAACAGAGAAAAAGTAACAGCTTCCAAAATTTTTTAATGAAGCCAGTACTATACTAACTTGGTCTATTATGAGAGATTCAGACAGTAAATTGGGTAATTATGAATGTTAGCTCTAACAAGGCTCTAGGGAACTCTGTCCCATGGCTCCCTGTCTGCAGGTGCCCAAAGTGGAACCCTCTTCAGCTTTCTCCTGTTATTAGCCTGATGAGCCAGCTCCCTGTTTCTGAGTTTCTCAGTTCAGGTTTCAAAAGACAAACATAAAATACCTCAAAACTCCTGAATACCTGTGTTGAAGGGGATCAGGGTACCACATGTCCCAGAGCATCTTAAAAATCCAGTACAGAACTTCTTTGTTCCAGCTGATGAATGTAACTAAGATAACTCTGGCCTTCCCTTCAGATTTATCCTTGGCTTGGTTTTGCAATCCTTTGTTGATCTCTTAGGCTTCTTGTCTAGAATCCTTCTCTCTCTTGCTCTCTCACTCTTGCTCTTGCTCTCATTCTCCCTTTTCCCCTCTAAACTTATTTTTAACCTCAGCTTAGCAAGCTCTTTTTTGCTTCTGTATTTATTATTCTTGATCCTAAATTCTGATTCCAGTAAATCCCATTACAAACGTTGTCAAGAAGAATCTGAGCTCTTTCTACCTTCCTCCCAAATGAAGGACATCTGCAATGCCTTCTTCTTAGCAACCAGAGTAGCAGTAAGAAGAGAAACTTGAGACAAACTACAGGCTAGTAGTTATTGCCTTTGTAATATCCTCTCCATCATGTCGAAGCCAGCTCTTACTTGTTGGCAGACACAGTAGATGAGGAAGCAGTGGAGGTAAGTAAAGGGATCTTACTACCCTGTGATGACAGAGACACAGGTTGCCCTAAGGTTCAGGAAGCACCTCATTGTTGTCTCTAGGATCTACAAAGTTTTCTGAGACTTTAAACAGGATTAAGGATGAGAAACCCTTTTAGGGAAAGGAAGAACCAAAAGGTAGAACAAGAGATATTAGCACAAGGCCCTTGAGTACAGCTTTGGACACTTTTAGAGGATTTCTGATGTTAACTGGTTGGTAGTATAGACTGAGGGACCTCTATAGGAATAGTCTGATCAAGGGATTGTATGCCAACAGAGATAATTAAAGAGATACAGGTCTTTCCTAAAATAAATTGCAATCTCTTTGAGGTCTCCAATGGAAATGAATGGACTCATTCACTAAAGGTAGGATCTGGATGCCAGGAACAGCATGTCTGCTGGTCTGCATCACCTTCCTCTTGAGAAGATACACATCAGTTGGGTCTTAAGAGAGTCTCCTGCCTCCAGGACATGGTTATTAGAATGTGCCCAGTTACAGAGCCTAACCTTTGTGAGGCATTACATTTGCCATTGAGAGATAGAGCAGGGGAGAAAATAGCTTGTGGCACCTGGTCTCTCAGGGTAAGTAATATAGCTCTGAGATGTGTTCCCCAATTAGTGTAGGGTTCGGCAGTAGATAAATATGTGATGGTTCTCAGTTATTGCTCTTGCTAATGTTTGAAATATTAACTTCAAAATAGAAAAAATCCTTCAATATATCTTGTATTGGTTTGGAGGTGGTTTTTTCTTTAGGTGTGGACTCTGAATAGAGATTGGGAGTAGGGATGTATTTAGATCTGTAAGATATTGATAAGAAAAATCATGAAAAATGGAAAGGTAGCTGACTGAACAGAAACAGTTCTAGTCTGAGAGCCTGGATACTCTGATTCTTATACTATCTCCCTCTAAGAAGCAGTGTTAACTTTTACAGTCACTTCACTTTTCCAAAACTTTGCTTAATCATCTATGAAGCATATGGAGCAGTTGAACTAAATGAAGTTTTCTTAATCCTTATTGAGCATCAAAATACCTGAGGAGGGTTTAGTTTTAGTTTTAGTTTTTTAAATACAGGTACCCAGACTATCTCATAGATAACTTAACTCAGTAGGTCTGAGGATTCTGTACTTTTAGAAATCATCTCACAGACCAGTGTTTGAGGACCTCTGGACCAGATGATTCTGTAGGGTCTATCTCATTCGTAAACTTCATTGTTTTTCTATAAAAGACTAGTATCCAAGATAGAAAGGGCAAGCGAGGCTAAAGCTATGAAAGTAGAAATTTTGAGAGACTAAATGTTTGAAGGTATCTAGGTATTTTATCTATATTGACTGATGATGCTGTCTCTGGTGTCCAATGCTATGGGTTGAAATTCTGTCCCTAATATTTATAAGCTATGAGTCCCTCTGTATGTTAGTCAATTCTCTTCCCTATACAATTGTAGGAATAATAATATCTGCTTCCTAGTGCTATTTAAGGAGTAAAGGAGATGATCTGTATGAAGTGCTTAGTACAGTGGCTGATAAGTGTAGTAAGTGGCTGGTAAATGTCAGCTATGCGATGATGATGATGCCAATGACAAAAACCTCAAATACAAGAGGGAAAAAATACAGAACTCCTTATTTCCTATTTAAGAAGAAATGATACAGAAATAAAGGAACATGAGTTTATATGCCCTTCCCTGTAAAATGAGATATTGTGGTAGTTTAAAAAAATTGTATGAATTTTGGGGCTACCAAGAGAATGTAAAATTCAACTCATCTCAGTCTACTCATGTACTGGGCAAAGCAACGGTGAAGCTGATATGGGATGGTAGACCTCGTTCAAGGCTTGGTAATGCCAGGACTGAAAAGTACCCAGAGCCTCCTTAGAAGAGTATAAAATATTGACCAGAGGGAAAGAGAAAAGAAAGGAAGAATCTATGAGATTCCTAAAAAAGAGGAAAAAGAAGGAAATAGAGTCAGATTAGAAGTGAAGTCAGATTAGGGAAGATAATGAATATAAAGAGAGATTTGGAAGTTAGAAGATTTGAGAGTCATCACATGTAGAGTTCTAGAAGAAATCTAGCATCTAACTCTCCTCCCTAGCTTCCAGATGCTGCAGAGTCATGGAAAACCAATCCAGCATCTCTGAGTTTTTCCTCCAAGGAATATCCAAGTTACCAGAGCAAAAGCAGTTCCTCTTTGGAATTTTCCTGCATATGTATCTTGTCACTTTAACTGGGAACATGCTCATCTTCCTGGCCATCAGATCAGACCCACACCCCCACACCTCCACGTACTTCTTTCTGACCAACCTGTCTTTTGTTGACATAGGTTTAACATCTTCCACAGTTACCAAGATGCTGGTAAATGTGCAGACTCAACATCACACCATTTCCTATGCTGGTTGCCTCATACAAATGTATTTCTGATGTTTGGCGATCTGGAGAGCTTCTTCCTGGCTGTAATGGTGTATGACCATTATGTGGCCATTTGCCGCCCTCTCCACTACTCGACAGTCATGAGCCCCCAAGTCTGTGCCCTGCTGCTTGCATTGTGCTGGGTCCTCACCCACACTGTTGCCCTGACTCACTGTTGCCCTCCTCATAGCTTGGCTGTCCTTCTCTGTTGCTGGGGAAATAGCTCACTTTTTCTGTGACATAACTCCTATCCTGAAGCTGTCATGTTCCGACACTCACATCAGCATGTTGATGGTTTTTGCCATAGGAGGCACAGTACTCATTGTCCCCTTTATCTGCATTGAAATCTCCTACATCCACATTATATTGGCCTTCCTAAGGGTCCAAACTCCTGGTGCAGAAGGCAAGGCCTTTTCCACCTGTAGTTCCCATCTCTGTGTCATCTGTGTGTTCTATGGGATGCTCTTCAGTGCCTACTTGTGCCCTGCCTCTGTTGCCTCTGAAGAGAAGGACATGGCAGCAGCTGCAAGTGTACACTGTGGTGACCCCCATGTTGAGCCCCTTCATCTATAGACTGAGGAAAAAGGACGTGAAGGGTGCCCTTAAGAGGCTCCTCAGTCACAGGAGAATTTTATCCTCTTAGATGCAGTGATGGTGGCTTTTCATTAAAGCCACAAACTTGGCTTCAGTTTTGGGTCTGCCACATACTAGCCATAAGATTGTAGTCCCATTACCTATCCACTCTGAGCCTTAGTCTTCTCATCTATAAAATGGAGATAGTTACCTCTATCCTCCAGTAAGGTGACTGGAGGACTAGATGAACTGAGATAAACTCTGAAGTGCATTTTGTATAGTGACAAATAATAGTAGGTTTTCAATAAGTGAAAGCTATTTTTATTACTGCTGTAAGTTTTCATCCTTGCCCCCACTCAAAAAGTCAAAACAATCCTTTCTCTGAGATTCACTCATTCAACAAATATCTACCAGACCCCTGCTAGGTGCTGGGAGCTAAGTGCTAAGAGCTAAGGAACTTAAGTTCCTTAAGTACATGGGATAAGACCAAGTCCCTGCTTTCATAACACTTCCATTTCCAGATTATTAATTTGCCAATCATAAAAAAAATTGGGGGCTGTCTTGGTGGTAGCATTAAATGGAGGTAAAGATGAAATAAATAAAGGACAGAGGTTACTTTCCAGGAGATGCAGACTAGATAAAGGGTTCCACATCAGAAGACTGAAGTTCAGAGTTGAGATTTCTGTACTGGTTGCCCCACTTCACACAGTTTGCCAAGATTTTACCAGAAAGGATGAATTCTTTGTGCTGTCTCTTCCCTTTGATGGTCAGAAATGCTCAATGCCAGCACCCTTTAATGACTTAAAAGGTGTGAACACTGTAACCATCTTTGTTTGCTTCCAGGTTTGCCTTTAGATCTAAAAAAGAGGCATCCGCCACATAACTTAGTTGCAGAGTTGGAAAAAGTTTATAAGCAAATAAGTTTTCTTCTGCCTCTAAGAATCCTAGAAATATTTGAAATATGATTTTTTTTAGAGAGAGAGTGCAAGCAGTGAAGGGGCAGAGGGAGAGCGAGAGAGAGAAAGAGAGAAAGAGAGAGAATCCCAAGTGGCCCCATGCCCAGTGCAGAGCCTGACCTGGGGCTTGATCTCATGACCATGAGATGACCTGAGCCAAAATCAAGAGTTGTATGCTTAACCAACCCAGGCACCCCTAAAATATTATTATTTAAAAATAAGAGCCATACAAATATCATATGACTTCACTCATATGAGGACTTTAAGAGACAAAACAGATGAACATAAGGGAAGGGAAACAAAAATAATATAAAAACAGGGAAGGGAACAAAACATAAGAGACTCATAAATATGGAGAACAAACAGAGGGTTACTGGAGGGGGTGTGGGAGGGGGGATGGGCTAAATGGGTAAGGGGCATTAAGGAATCTACTCCTGAAATCACTGTTGCACTATATGCTAATTTGGATGTAAATTAAAAAAAATTAAATTAAATTAAAAAAAATAAGAGCCACATAATTTAAATTCCTTACATTTCTCTGGTATGACGAAGTATCTACTAGCTACCCAAATCCCATTCCCCATTGCACTTTTTTTCTCAGATTCAACCTATCTTAAAATGTTCCATGATTCCTCTATTTATTTAAACAAATAATTTTTGAGCATTGCCCACACAATCAAACTGTTCCAGACTTCCACAGTTGGTGAGCACAAATGCAAATTGTGTCAAGCCACATGCCACATCTTAGTACTTGAGTTTTCCATTTGTTTGATAACCTGAATCAGGACTTGACTTGTTTCTCTAGATCTCCTTTCCAGATAATTCTCTGTAGGAGTCCTTGGTAGGGCCAGGGGGAGGGGGCATTCTTATAGTCAGGGCTGGAGCTGGTGGCCACCCAGGAGTCCTTCTCTTTTGATTTCCTTAGTTTGCACCTCTTCTTTCATTCTATTGACATCTAATGTTCTAGATTGTGGGCCACAGAAGGCCTAGCTTTATTCTGCCCTTTGAACTGGCAAGAAAAATACCTTCTACTTCTCATGATCAGTTATTTCAGGAGAGGGTCCCTTGGAAGAGTTCTAAGGCCTGATGACATAACCCCTGGATACGAGGAAGGCTGAGGTGTCAGATTACTGGATACAGCTCCACACTATCCCTGCTATCAGTGTCCCCTTGATGTCCTGAACCTGCTGCTCAAACTGGCCCAATTATCCCTACCTTCTGGTTTCTCTAGATGGTGGTTTCTCTAGATGGTCTTCTAGTTTCTTTCTCCATTCTGAGCCTCACGGAATCTTAATCCAGTGGCAGTGCAGACATGTTGTAACCCTGTTTGGGGCTTTCCCACAGGCCCCAAGCAGACTAAGAGATGAGACTACATGTCTGTTTTGGTTTCCCCAATATCATTGTGTCAGTTAGCAATTAAGTCAGCATAGAGTGTACAAAGATCCACCTGGGGACTCTATTACCTGTCACTGTTGAGTAGTCTAACATTCTTAGGTCCTACACAGTCAAAATAGTTACCAGTGTATTCAAAGTTCCAAATTTATTCTTCTTTTGATACATCCTAGTATACCCACCCCAATCCCTATGTTCACACTTCTGTTCCTTTAAGGTCACCCGTTTTAAGTAGAGTTAATATGATGTTGACAATAAAATAATTCACCCTGAATTATTTGTAAATACAAATTATTTATAAGTCTTTTCATGTAGGTAGTGTCATGTGAGTAGGATGTGCTTTCAATCGGGATTGAGTTGGGGGTGATAATGAAGAGCTTTCAAATTTGCCTATTTATGGTATTTGCCTGCCTTTTGCTTGGAATCTTAAATTTTTTTTAAATGTTTATTCATTTTTTGAGAGAGAGAGAGAGAGAGAGAGAGCATGAGTGGGGAGGGGTAGAGAGAAGGAGACACAGAATCTGAAGCAGGCTCTAGGCTCTGAGCTGTCAGCACAGAGCCCAACACAGGGCTCAAACTCATGAACTTCTAGATCATGACCTGAGTCAAAGTTAGATGCTTAACTGACTGAGCCACCCAGGAGCCCCTGGAACCTTTTTTTTAAAAAGCAGGTGGTGGGGTACCTGGTGGCTCAGTTGGTTAAGTGTTCAGCTTTGGCTCAGATTATGATCTCACGATTCACGGGTTCGAACCCTGCATCGGGCTGTCGGGCTCTGTGCTGACAGTTCAGAGCCTGGAGCCTGCCTCAGATTCTATGTCTCCCTCTCTCTCTGTCCCTCCCCTGCTCACACTCTGTCTCTGTCTCTCAAAAAATAAACATTTAAAAAAAATTTTTAAATAAATAAAAAATTAAAAAAACAGGTGGTTAGAAACTTGTTTCCTCCAATCAACAAAACTAAAAGGTAACCAACGGAATGGGAAAAAATATTTGCAAATAACATATTGAATGAAGGGTTAGCATCCAAAATCTATAAAGAATTTGTGAAATTCACCTAAAAAAACAAATAATCCAGTGAAGAAATGGGCAGAAGACATGAATAGACACTTTTCCAAAGAAGACATCCAGATGGCCAACAGACACATGAAAAGATGCTCAACGTCACTCATCATCAGGGAAATACAAATCAAAACCACAGTGAGATACCACCTCACACCAGTCAGAGTGACTAAAATCAACATCTCAGGAAACGACAGATGCTGGTGAGGATGTGGAGAAACGGGAACCATTCTGCACTGTTGGTGAGAATGCAAATTGGTGGAGATGCTCTGGAAAACAGTGTTGAGATTCCCCAAAAAATTAAAAATAGAACTACACTAAAACCCAGCAATAGCACTACTAGGGAATTTATCCAAAGGATACAGGAGTAGTGATTCATAGGGGCACATGTATCCCAATGTTTATAGCAGCGCTTTCAACAATAGCCAAATTATAGAAAGTGCCCAAACGCCCATCAAGTGATGAATAGATAAAGAAAATGTGGTTTATGTATACAATGGAATACTACTTGGCAATGAGAAAGAATGAAATCCTCTTCATTTGCAGCAAATTGGATGGAACTGGAGGATATTGTGCTAAGTGAAAGAAGTCAGTCAGAGAAAGACAGATATCATATGTTTTCACTCATATGTGGAACTTGAGAAACTTCCTGGAGGAAGGGAAGGGGAAAAAAGTAGTTACAAACCGAGAGCAAGGGAGGCAAACCATAAGACACTCTTAGATACAGAGAACAAACTAAGGGTTGATGGGGCAGGGAGGGGAAAATGTGGGATGCGCATTGAGGAGGGCACTTGTTGGGATTAGCATTGGGTATTGTATATAAGCGATGAACCACAGGAATCTACCCCCAACACCAAGAACACACTGTATGTTAGCCAATTTGACAATAAATATATTTAATAAAAATCTTGTTTCCTCACTTCTAAAAGACTTTTTTAATGTTTACTTATTTATTTTGAGAGAGAGAGTCAGAAGCGAGTGGGAGAAGGGCAGAGAAAAAGTGAGAGAATTCCAAGCAGGCTCTGTGCACTGTCAGCGCAGAGCCTGATGTGGGGCTCAATCTCATGGACTGCAAGATCAGGACCTGAGCTGAAATCAAGAGTTGGACGCTCAACTGACTTTTAAAAGATTTTAAAGCCTGATCAAAATTATTCAAAGTGCCTAGCCTTCATTATGTTCTTAAATATCAGTTTACAGAAACAGAAATCCAGAACAATCCTATTCTACAACCTACTTCCCATTAATTACCAAGACCACTCTAGTCTACCTTCTAAGATATTCTTTTGTCTGTCCCCATGCCATTGTCTTCATTCAGGCCTTCATCATCTGTGACCTGGATGCACAATAACCTTCTGATTGAGCTCTCTGTCTCTAGGCTCTCCAATTCATTGCCAACCCATGTGGTACATTTGTTACCTGAATAGTCTTCTAGGATACAAATGTAACCTTCCCCAGGTTTAATCCCTACTGCACCCCATCCCCAGCAAATGGTGCCCAGTCACTTGAAAGGCAATGTCTTAAGTCCCCAACAGAACATCCTAACCCCTTCACCATATAGTCCTTATCTGACTGTCTAGACTCATCTCTTGCCCCCCTCAACTCATACACACATATGCTTTAGCAACACCCACTTTTTACATTTTCCTGAACTATGCTATTTCAGTGCCCTCATTCACTCTGTTCTCTCTGCCAAGACTGCCATTTCTCTCATTAGGCATCATCATCCTGAACATCTTTCAAAACCCAGCTACAGGACTACCTCCTCTGTAAAGCTTTTGGTGATATCCAGGCAGCGTTAACTATATCCTCCCTATGCTACTGCCATTTATTATATTTAGGCCATTGTCTCTAAGTTCATTATCCTCAACTGAAAAATGCAGATAATAATGTACATGCTTCATAGGATTATTATGAGCACTAAAAAAGATAATAACAGATAAAGCTTTTAATTGCATGCCCAACACAGTAACATGCTCAATAAGCACAATTATTATCAATAGTATTATATTAAAGCACTTTTTAATATTCCTGTATATTTTTAGCTCACCTGTCTCTACACCACTAGACTGTTCCCTTCTTTTGCATGGAGGTTGTATCTTTATCCAGCTGTGTACGACAAGGTCTAGACACACTGACGTAGAGTAGGTAACTTGCAAAATAGCTAATGAGTGACAGAATCTATATGATAGGCAAACTATAAAAGACTCTTAAAAACTGAGAATAAACTGAGGGTTGATGAGGGGTAGGAGGGACAGGAGGGTGGGTGATGGGCATTGAGGAGGGCACCTGTTGGGGATGAGCACTGGATGTTGTATGGAAACCAATTTGACAATAAATTTCATATTAAAAAATAAAAAAATAAAAGGTTTAGGAGATACCTACTTTAAAAGTATTTACAGTTCTATATCATGAAGGAAAAGCATATAAAATGTCCCTGATAACTTCTAACCACTGATTTTTTTTAAATACAGGTTTTGGTTCATAGAAAAAAAAAAAAAGACAGTCTCACTATTTTTCTGGTATTTACTCTATCCTAAATGAAAATAAATTAAAATGTATTGAGTCCCTTCTGATTTCATTTATAGCTTCTTTCTCAAAGAATAACTTTCCAATATCACCCAATTTCTCCTTCCCCCTAGCTCCCAGCAATCACCATTCTATATCTGCTTCTCTAAATAGGACTATTTTAGATTCCACATAAAAGTGAGATCATGCAGGATTTGTCTTTCTGTGTCTGACTTATTTCACCTAGTATATTGTACAAAGTTCAGTTATGCATGATGAAAAAGTTTTTGAGAACTAATGTACAGCAAGATGACCACAGATATCAATACTGTATTGTATACTTGACATTTGCTAGGTGAATGTATCTTTTTTTTTTTAATTTTTTTTTTCAACGTTTATTTATTTTTGGGACAGAGAGAGACAGAGCATGAACGGGGGAGGGGCAGAGAGAGAGAGGGAGACACAGAATCGGAAACAGGCTCCAGGCTCTGAGCCATCAGCCCAGAGCCCGACGCGGGGCTCAAACTCACGGACCGTGAGATCGTGACCTGGCTGAAGTCAGACGCTTAACCGACTGCGCCACCCAGGCACCCCTAGGTGAGTGTATCTTAAATTCCCTCACCACACACACAAAAATAAAACAAAATGTTAACTATGTAGGTATATCAATTAGCTTGAAATGGCAATCATTTCACAACATATACATATCAAAACATAAAGGTGTACACTTTAAATACATATAACATTTATATGTCAATTATACCTCAATAAACTATTTTTTGAAAAGAACTAATAAATTCCCAGGAAATAAGGGGAGAAACATACATTGTATTAGCTACATGATATCACAATCTAATAGACAAGAGTAGTAATCAATGATATCAACTAAGAATTCACAGCCTCTACTAAAGAGTTGGTAGGAAAAGAGTGAATAACTGTAACAATGTAATTGAAGTTGTCAAATATATACTGAGCACCTATTCCATGCTAGGCTTAAGATTAGCGGTCTAGCATCTGGGGATATGTGATTACCTATGTCTGTTATAAAGATGAGCAGATGTCACTGACATAAGACTATTGGCCTGTTGAGGAGTTTCTCCAGGGACCCTTTCATGTCTCTGTTCCTTAGGCTATAAATGAAAGGGTTAAGCAATGGAGTGACCACTGTGTACATCACAGAGGCAATAATGTTCTTGTCACTGGAACTGCTGGATGAAGGGAAAAAATACAGCCCAATGATTGTTCCGTAATACAAAGATACCACAGAGAGGTGGGAGCCACACGTGGACAAGGCTTTGCAGATCCCCCTGGTAGAGGGAACCTTCAAGATGGTGGCCCCAATGTGGCCATAAGAGATCAAGATGCAAATTAGTGGGATAGTAATGACTGCCACACCTGCTGTGAAAATGACCAGCTCATTAAGGGAGGTGTCTGAGCAGGAGAGCTTGAGCAGGACACCAAGGTCACAGAAGAAATGGGGGATGGCATTGTCAGCACAAAAGGACAGCTGGGCCAAGAGGAGGGTGTGAGACAGGGCACTGGCACAGGACAGGATCCAAGATACAGCTACTAGTAAGATACACACCCCCTCTCTCATGATGGTGGTATAGTGGAGTGGGTGACAGATAGCCACATACCGATCATATGCCATTGATGTGAGAAGAAAATTGTCCAGATCAGTAAAAAATATGAAAAAATACATCTGTGTTACACAGCCTGTGTAGGGGATGGATTGATCCTGAAAGTGCATGTTTATCAGCATCTTGGGGACGGTGACAGATGAGAAGGAGACATCAGTGAGGGCCAAGTGGCTGAGGAAGAAGTACATAGGGGTGTGGAGGCGAGAGTCCAGCCTGATGAGCAGGATGATGAGCAGGTTCCCCAGCACCGTGGTCAGGTACATGCCCAGGAATAGGGTGAAGAATATGGCCTGCTGCTCTGGCCGGATGGGGAGCCCCAGGAGGAGGAACTCAGATGTGCTGCTCTGGTTCTCAGGCCTCATGTTCACCTTCTGCTCTTGGTAAAAGGACAGTGAAAAAGCAGAAATCAACAGATGTTAATTTAACCTCAGGCAGATAAAAATGAGATCCTTTTTACTGGTGAATATGCCAGTGTCTGTCCGCGTCGCCATGTCTCAACAAATTTTTAAAAACTGGATGGTGTTTATCATGTCAAATGAGAGAATTTGCCAACAGAGAAGACAGTTTGCTATAGAAGAAAAAGTGGCTCAACTGGCATTTTTCACCATCCAGGGGACAGGCAGCCCAGACCACAATGTATTTTCATAGCTATGTCTAGTCAGTAAAGAGAAAGCCTTGCACTGTCTTAGCAGGAACTATTAAGCTAAAATCTCCCTAATTTCTCTTCCATTTCTGTATGTTTAAAGACAATTGTCAGGTTAGGCTTAACTTTCAAGTTGTAAGGTTTTGAAATCTGACTCCAAATCCATTAATAAGTAAAATATAAGGAGAAGGTTTCAACAAATTGGGATTCCATCTTCCCAAAGGTAAGTGGATCAAAAGTAAATATCCAAAATTTCCATAATGTATAAAGGTCAAAGAAAACATATCTGTCGATTGAACTCAGAAATTGTCAGAGCTCCGTCTTGCAAGAGCACTGTTTAAAAATGCAAAAATATTGCTGACAGTTATATATTTATTGCTAGGAATTACATTTATCAGGACTTCTTTAGATCATTTTCCAATTTCTTCATGATTCAATGAGCTTGCGTGACACGATGAAAATACACAATTCATAATAGAAACAGCTGTTCTTGGGCACCTGGGTGGCTCAGTGAGTTGAGCGTCTGACTTCAGCTCAGGTCATTACCTCGCAGTTCATGAGTTAGAGCCCCACATAGGGCTCACTGCTGTCAGCCTGTCAGCGCAGAGCCTGCTTTGGATCCTCTGTCCCCCTCTCTTTGCCCCTCCCCCACTTGCACTCTCCCCCCGAATAAATAAATAAATATTTAAAAAAAAAAAGAGAAAGAGCTGTTATCAAGAGAGGTCAAAGAGGCGCCATGATATGCCCCCTGCTCCTTTTTTTAGCTTCCTCATTTGGGCTCTTGGCATCTTGAACTACAGCTCTGGATAATCAGCCCTGTAAAAATTCTACACATGTCCAGGAGGTTTTGTTTCTTACAAAATCTATTTGTGTTCTCCCTCAACCACTGCTATTTACCCATTAAAATAGTCTAAAGCCTAAATTACCAAATCCTGCAAAGTAAGTAGGAAAAGATATTTATGATCTCACTGTGTCTTAATTAAAAGTTCCTTTAAGACAAAAATCAATGTCAAATGCCTATATCTGCCTACATACAGTATGTAAATGCAGGATGTTAGGATTGCATTATAGTAGTTGTTAACTGAAAGAAAAATTCAGAAGAGCTTTATACAGGTGGGTTTAAAATCCCTTGCTTCTTTAGGCTGATGAATTGAGCATACTACTACTCCATCTGGGTATACTATCTTCTTTTTTAAACTTACTGAAAAGCTGCCAACACAAGAGAGTTCTAGGTGGGCCAGTAGAGAGGAGTGCCTGGCCCAGGCTCCTAATCTGTGTCTGCTCACTCCAGCATTTTGGACTGTTGGCTATGATGTTAAAGATAGAGCCCCATGTCTGAGTGCAGTGTGGTGTATCAGACAAGCAATGCAATTAGAAATAGATTCACATTCTGGCAACACTATTTCATGTTTGTGAGTTCTGGGCAAGTGACCCATTTTGAGTCTCAATTTTCTTATCTCTAAATTGGAGATATGATGGGGCGCCTGGGTGGCTCAGTTGGTTAAGCGTCCAGCTTTCAGTTCAGGTCATGATCTCACAGTCTGTGAGTTTAAGGTCCACATAGGGTGGGCTCTGTTTTGACAGGTCAGAGCCTGAAGCCTACTTTGGATTCTGTGTCTCCCTCTCTCTCTGCCCTTCCCCTGCTCGTGCTCTCTCTCTCTCTCTCTCTCTCTCTGTCTCTCAAAAATAAATAAACATTAAAAAAATTTTTTAATTGGAGATATGACTATGAGCCTCAGTCATGAGAAAATTGTGAATATTAATAAGATAATATTGGTGAAACACCATGCAGATTGTTGGCACAAATCAATGTTAGTTTCCTGCCCTCCATGTCATGAGACCCCTTTATTTCTCCCTCCTGATGCTCCCTCCCCTCAATAGGCAGATATTGAGCAGAGTTCAGGTGCCACAAAGCCACTTCATTGTGGGATTATGACCTGATGCAGGCAAAGGCCATAGACGCAATGATGAAGTTGGGAATACAGGCAAGGGGCCAACTACATCTGCCTGGTAGAAAATGAAACCTCCACTATCCCACACTTCTGGACTTCTTCCACCTTCCCTCCATTCTCTCTGCTTTCCCTCATGCTTTATAAATAGGGCTACTCCTTTCTGAACTAGTAAATTTATCTAGTCTATGAGATTTGGTATTTTAATAAAAATTCCTTGGATACAATTTGATAATATCTCTTTTTTTTCTGCATAAACCTTTTATAAAGATCATATATGGACTCTTACTCCACCGCACTCAGCCTTCTGGTCAATAAATACCTCAACCACCACTTACTGAGAACTGATATTTCTTTGACAGTGAGGCTGTGTGCTGTCGAAGGCAAAGCATGGGCTTTGGAACCAGACAGAGTGGATTAAACTCACCTTTCCACCATTTGTCAGATATATGTCTTTGGACAAGGCATTGTACCTGTTGGAGTCTCAGGTTTTCCTTCCTAAAATTGGGATACTAGTCCCTGAGTCAAAAAGAATTAAACAAGGGGTCCTACATGTGGCTATGTTGTTCCTGTTCCATATAAAATGCAAAGAACTCTAGTGAAGAAACTCAGGGTCTTATCTTCAGTGGAACACAGTAAATGTAATTGAGGTAGAAAATCTTTCCTGGGCCCAAGGTTTGACACATTCAATGAATGTATGAGACTATACTAGGGATTTCAGGGAGGAAATCATCAACTTCTAACGAAGAGCTGTAATACAGGTGCTGTGTGAATGAAAAGAGGAACCAAAGCTCTCTAGGCAAAAGTTGCCTTTCAAATATACTTCTAAGTGGAAACAGCAGTGCTGTCTAAAGGGGAGGTGGTGATCAGGGACTTTGGAGAGAAGCATTGGGAAGGGCTGGTTGACACTGCATGCACTAAGAACAACTATAAACTAAGCACCATTAACACTAAGCAAATAAGAACTAAGATTCTGACAGCTAGAACTTGAATGATGAGATGGGGCCCCCAGCTTGAATCTGGGGATGTGCCCACTAATCTTACACAGCCAGCTGATTCTGTTCCTCATTTCCCCAAGGTTCAGGGTTAAAGGTCCAAGAGTCAGTGGCCAGTGGTGATTGTGGTATCCCTCTCTTTAGGAACTAGTAATAAAAAGTGGGTTCAGTGAGAGCACTGAGAAGTGATGAGCACCTGTGTCTATGTGCATGCATGCACGCACACACACACACACACCAAAACACACACACACACACACACACACACACACACACACACACACACACACACCTGCCCCTGATGACAGATACCCAGTTCTGCTCTGAACTTTATGCTCAAGTCCTCTGGCTCCTGGGAGTGTGGACTTGGTTTCTCAGCTTCTCTGCAGGACACCCAGAGACCAGATTTAGCCTACAACTTCTGTGATCCTAACCCTCTCACTGACACAAAGCAAAATCATAAGCCTGGAGCTTACTCTGCTCAATTCACCAGCTTCAGAAGTGGAGATGTGAAGACTCCACTGTACTCACCAGGCAAAGAGCCCAAGGGGACAGGGCACAAAGCTCTTGATTAGAGACATGCGTTAAAAATGTATTAATTGCTCAGTACTCTTCTTACTCCCTCCAGGACAGAAGCCCTAGTCAGTGTCCCTAAACTTTGATGTTCAGCAGAATCACCTGGGAGTTTTTAAAGAGGCAGATCCCAGCTCCATCCCCAGAGATGCTCATCCATGAGATCTGGGGCCAGGTTATTCTAACACAGATGGTTCTAAGGGCAGACTTTGAAGAAACACTGTCCTTAGGAAAAATATCAGGATGTAAGCCCAAAAGGAGATGTGGAGAGACCTCTTCACTGACCCTTGCCTGCCAGATTTGTTTCCCCTAGTTAGGTCATAGCTTGGGATGTTGTAGACTACCACAACTTTCATGATTTAAGTCTTTACAGCACTTGTCTTCAAATTGTAGTTCACAGATCTGCAGCATCCGCGTCATATGGAAACTTATGAGAAATGAAAACTTGGCGGTCCCATCCCAGAACTACTGAATTGGAACTCATGGTGGTAGATTCCAGGAACCTGTGTTTTAACAACCCTTCAGGATTTTTTTTTTAATTTGAGTACAGTTGACACACAATGTCACATTAATTTCAGGTATACAAAAGTGATTCAACTTCCCTATACATCATGCTGTGCTTACCACAAGTGTAGATACCCCCTATTGGCGTACAACACTCTTACAGTACCATTGACTGTATTCCTTATGCTGTACCTTTTATTCCTGTGACAGGAATGCATGCTCAAGTTTGACAAGCTTTACTTTTATTCTTCACCTGGGAAGGTAGAATGTCCATGGATAGTCAGTGCTAAATCTGGAGTGGCATTTGTAGGAAAGCAATAACACTTTCAGAGTCTATGCACTATAATTTGGTTATATTTACGCAGGAGGCCAGCATGAAGCATGCTTTCATTAATGATTGTATATGGGGGCTAAGCAGCAACTATCACACAGTACTGGCAAAGGGGAGCTGGCAAGTCTTGGTTTACAACAGGGCCCTCCATCTGCAGAGTGGTTACTGTAACATTTTATACCATGGACAGAGAGTAATACACTTCCTCTTATTCAAGTGACAAGCAGTTTGGATACTTTGATTTCAATAGATCCATAAAGATGGAAATAAAACGTGTTTAGGATACATAAGAGAGTATAGTGAAATGATATATCTAATTCTTTAGATTCTAGGGTGTGTTAAAGCCTGAGATTATAGGCCCAAAATATAAGGCTTCCAAAATCTCCTAAATAAGGGATAGTGCAACCATATGTCATTGTATTATGAATCCCCCCAAGTTGCAGAAATAAGTAGTAAAACTAACCTAGTATTTGCTGATCAAAAGTTATTTATAAAGGAGAGCATTGTTAATAAGGGAATGAAATTCTGGTCAGTAAATATTTACCAAGTATATCAACATGTTACCGTTTGTCTTAGGGTTTGAAACATTCAAGTTTTGAGAAATATTCTAATGGAAAATCAAATACACAAGATCAACCAAAAGGAGGTTCCGATTTAAATAAATGTCACACTGGGGCGCCTGGGTGACTCAATTGGTTGGGCGTCTGACTTCGGCTCAGGTCACGACCTCGCTGTTTGTGGGTTTGAGCCCTGAGTCGGGCTCTGTGCTGACAACTCAGAGCCTGGATCCCGCTTTGGATTCTGTGTTTCCTTCTCTCTCTGCCCCTCCCCTGCTCATGCTCTCTCTCTCCCTCTCTGTCTCTCAGTAATAAATAGATGTTAAAAATTTTTTTAATAAATAAATAAATAAATAAATAAATGTCGCAAAATCACCGTGATAAAGATGTTGCCCTACTGAAGAGTTTCCCCAGGGCTTCTTTCATGTCCCTGTTCCTAAGGCTGTAGATAAAGGGGTTCAACATGGGTGTGACCACTGTGTACATGAGAGCCACAATGATGTCCTTGTCAATGAAATTGCTTAATTTGGGGAAAAGATACTGCCCAAATATTGCCCCATAATACAGAGACACTATAGAAAGGTGGGAGCCACACGTGGACAGTGCTTTGCAGATCCCCTTGGTGGAAGGACCTTTCATGATGGTGGCCCCAATGTAACCGTAAGATACCAGAATACATATGAATGGCAGGGTAATGACCACCACCCCTACTGTGAACATGACCAACTCATTGAGGAAGATGCCTGAACAGGATATCTTAAGCAGAGCACCAAGGTCACAGAAGAAATGGGGGATGGCATTGTCAGCACAGAAGGATAACTGGGTGAGGAGAAGGGTGTGGGAAAGAGAGCTGGCACAGGACAGGATCCAAGATATAGCCAGTAGTAAGGCACACAGCTCTTCCCTCATGATGGTGGTATAATGAAGAGGGTGACATATAGCCGCATAGCGATCATATGCCATTGATGTAATAAGGAAGCTGTCCAGGTCAGTAAAAAATATAAAAAAATACATTTGTGAAATACACCCTTCATAGGGGATGGATTTGTACTTAGCATGCATGTCCATCAACATTTTGGGGACAGTGACAGATGAGAAGGAGACATCAGTGAAGGCCAAGTGGCTGAGGAAGAAGTACATAGGGGTGTGGAGGCGAGAGTCCAGCCTGATGAGCAGGATGACGAGCAGGTTCCCCAGCACTGTGGTCAGGTACATGCCCAGGAACAGGGCGAAGAACATGGCCTGCTGCTCTGGCCGGATGGGGAGCCCCAGGAGGAGGAACTCGGACACGCTGCTCTGGTTCTCCCTCCTCATGATACTCTTTCCTCTGCTGGGAATGAAGCATGGTTGAAAATATTAAGGACTCTGAAATAATCATTTTTAGTAGTCATATGAAAAATATGTGTGTTTTGGAAAGTGGGAAACTTAACCTGTTTCTGACATATTTTCTTTTATGTTGGCACATAAAGGAATTAGTAAAATTGTTGAAGAACTGTTATTGGGAGCCAGTTTTTCTTGGTTCACCTACAAACCAGAATTCTTGCATCTGTGACACTGAGGACCAGACCATGGAGTATGATGTGTCAGCCATGTTATTGCCCCAAGAATGCTCTGTGTTGAGTATTCCAAATCCTCAACCACAGCACAGCAAACTTCAGAAGATTTGACTTCACCACCCGTTGTTAAATTTCAGATGGGAGGTGAACTTTTCATATAAATGGACACAAAGATTAGCATTGTTTTAATTAAAGGACATTCATCAGTATACATATATTTTGTTTATATCAATTCAGTAGAGGGTTCTTAAGAGACTCTGAATTATGTTGATGCATTTCCCTTCTGCACTGAAGAGAAATTTTTTTCTTAAAAACCTGTAGTTCTTCTTTAAAACTTAAATGACTTCTTCCCCTGTTTAAAAATTTGAAGTGTAACA